GCATCGGCTACTACGAGATCGACCGCACCATCGGCAAGGGCAACTTCGCTGTGGTCAAGCGGGCCACGCACCTCGTCACCAAGGCCAAGGTAGTGGCGCGGCGGGAGCGGGCGGCTGCGGGGCTGCGCAGCCCGGGACCATCCGTCCGAGTGTGGCGGGGGCAGGAGAGACCCGCGACAGGGAGGCTGAGGGGTCGGCGCGGCGAGCGGGGCTCGGGATAGTGGAGAGCGTTGGGGATCGGGGACACGGACGGGGAGGGGGGCTGTCGGAGGGGAGTGAGTAGGGGGCGAGCCGAAGGTAGGGGACGCCGGGGAGCCGGCAGAGGGAAACTCCGTGGCTGAGGGGGCCAAGGGGGGGCCCCTGGAGCGCGGAGACCTGGGGTACCGAGGAGCCGGGGATGGGGAGGGGGTGCTCAGCCGGGGCTCTGCGGAGGGTAGCGGAAGGGGTGATTGGAAGGAAGAGATTTGGAACTCTCACGGAGCCGGAGACTGTAAGCTAAGAGGACTCTGGAACCAGCAATTAGGAAATCCTAAGGGAATGAGGGCAGGGGGATAGGAAATGTGGACAGCAGGATGGGGGAAGACAAGGGTAAACTGTCAGCCGGAGGGGGGGGAATTAGGAGGGGAACAAGGACGATAGGGGCATGTACTAGGGGTGTGTGGTGGGTGCAGGGTACTGGGAGATATGAGGGACCTGGTACCTTATGACAGATGCCAATCAGCGTTTGATCGTCTAAGACTGATGGATGGTAGGAATGGGAGCCCGAGGACAGACGAGATTATTGGAGGAGGCGAGGAAGAAAATGGGGAAATAAGAAGGAAGAAAATTACTTTGCTTTTCCGCAGGAAGGGGCTCAGGGAACAGAGGCCCAGGGCGCCCCATGTTCATGGTGGCCGTAGGTAGTCAGGGGTTAAATAATTTGGGAGAGCTGGGTTGCTGGTTATTTTTAGTTGTTGGAGGGTCTGGAATCATGGGCTTTATAGAGGCAGGGTGGGCTCTCAGCGGTGGGGGTAAAGCCTGGTGGGTGACCGAGGAGGTGGATGAGGAACCCAGACACTGGAGCATTACACTCATTGGGCCCTTTGGTTCTCAAGGGATTTGTGGGGCTGTAGTAGTGAAATTGGCCAAGGCCAATTAGGAAGCCATATAAGTACACATACACGGTTTTACATATAAAATTCATTTTTGAGGAAATGTGGGTAGCCTTCTACATTGGAAGTATTGGAATCAAAGTCATCAGGAAGAATCTTTTGGTTTTGAGAGGACCCACAAAGCCCATTTGTACTCCAGATTTCTTGCTTTGCTCACTTGAATGAATACTTTCAGTGTAGTCATTCATTATATCTAAAACTGCAGTTTGTGTTTTCCTTCAACCTGATGAAGAACCCTTACAGCTGCTGCTGCTTCCTACCAAAGCCACATCAATTCCTCACCTCCTCAGCCTAGCCCTTATCATCGCCGACCTTGTTTTTGCTTTTATGGCAACTGCTTGTTTTCAGAAGCCAGTAACTTATCTGGGCCTTCTCTCCTTCTCACTCACAACCTGAAGTTCCCTTTTCCCTCCTTTTTGTCAAAGCCTACAAGGGGCCTTTTTTACCAGGGTGGCAGGGTAGGTGGCTGTGGAAAATTGATTGGTCAGTTTCACTTCCTCTGGGGGGCCCCCTTCAGCCTTTTTGTCAGTTTTTTATCAGAGGGCCTCAAGTCTGCAGGTCTGAGCTGAATGATATACCAAAGTCCAGGGTTCTCTGATGTCAGCCTTGGACCCTGAAGGGGGACTAGACTGAGCCAAGACTTGGGTGCCTCTCTGCCTGTCCCCCTACCCCCAGGTGTTTACAGTTCTGTTTACTGTTCCCTAAGCCAAAGTTATGTTTATAAACAACCCTAGTTGTTTGAGAGCTTTGTTCCTTGTTTCAGCATTTCCTTTTTTTTTTTTTTTAAATCTCCCCCTCTCTTCTAAGTAATCACATTGAGCTCCTGTGATTATTTTGCTCTGACCTCTGGGGGATGGACTCCATGAACTTAATTGGTTTCCTGGTTTATGGTATCTATGATTTAAATAATTTTGTGTCTTGCAGCCCTTGGATACACCAAAATATTGATAAAAAAATCTGTGACAGACAGGGTCGTATGTTTTTGTAAATGTAATTGCTAACAGTTGATTCTTGGCTTTATATATAAAAGAGACATTTTTATCTTCAGTAGTCAGCAAAGCCAGTGGCTAATTATGGCTGATCTGCTTGCTTTCTAATTTTCGTATGTATGTGTGTGTGTGTGTTTCTTGGTTTTTCTCTGAGGCCTTGGTGTCCTTTAGGACTGCAGCATTTTAATCATTAGCTTGTTTATAAACGGGTTCACTGTTTATGTTGGTTTTTATCTTTGATCATTTGTGGTGTGCAGTTATATAATTCGTATGTATGGAAATATTTGAAATCCTGAATGAGACTGAACGAAATGGCTTGGACAATGAGTTGCATGTGTGCAAGGACCACACCAGCACTCATTTGTGTTTCTGTAGCAGTGTGCAATTTCCTAGTTACAGTTACAAACGCCCTATCTTTTGCTGCTTAAATTACTCTGACGACATGAGTAAAGCTTAATTCACAAGGAGTTGTCATGTGCTCTGGGTGAACGATGAGCATATTTTGGCCTGCTCCCTGGTTATCTGGATTCACGTTGGAAGGGATTCTTAAATGCTGACAGCTTAGATGTGCTTAACAGCTGTTGACGTACAGTGTGATGGCCTATTAAGGCCATGGTGTGGTTATATAATGGCGAGGCAGGTGTCTAGTAGGTTCTAGTAGATGCAGAAGCTGCTGTTTCAGTTGCTCAGGGAGATAGATGTTTCTCCCCATGCACTGCAGCATTTATTTTACTTCTGCAGTCAGGTCACTTGGAACCAAAGAGAGGGGTTTTTTTTTTTTTTTTTTATCTCTTTCCAGAATCTATAATTTTTTGTTTCATCTTTAAGAGGTCTGTGATTGTTTTCTTTCTCCTCTTCCCCCTGGAAGCCACTGAATGGTCTGGGCTTTTCTTAAAACCATATCTAACAATCAGACTCAGGTAATTCAGAAAATACTTGTATTAGTCGAAGGAGCATAGGTAATCGGTGCTTTCTGAAAATCAGGGAAGTATTTACGATTACCTTTTCTCACACACACCGTCCATTCCAAGGACTAAGAGGCTAAAGTAAACTTCATTTATTGACTAAGCTACTGCCCTCCGTCCAAAAGAAGTGGTGAAGCTGGCTCTTTCCCAAATTCTGTTAACTCTCAAACCTCCTGGAGTAGGATCCTGGGCTGAAGAGAATCAGTAGAGAAGAGGAAAGAGTTTCTGTTGTTCCTTGGGTTGTTGGGGACTTCTGCAGCCTGGCCTTTGTGGGCTAGACTTGATATTGGCAGTTCTGCGGTGCTTAGAGCATCATTGTGGAACAGGAACCAGGAGAGGAGGTTCATCTGTGACCCACTTTGGTCAGCAGCTCACCCTGGCTGTCTTTGTCCTACCTTCTTTGATTTCCTTTTTTTTTTTTTTTTTTTGAGAAGTCTTAGTCTGAGGTTCTCTGGCTCTATTCTTTTGGTAGGACACTGTCAAGTATTAAAGAGATAGAAAAAAAGATTTTCTGCTTTCAGATTGCTTATAGTCTGTTGCCTGTGCCTAATTATACCTTTACTGATTGGATGAATGGGAACAAAGAGTAGTTAGTTATATGTTGTATGCATTTTTAAAATGTGTAGACTATACAAGCCATTGGTCAAACACTTACAAAGTGTTATTTCAATGCATATGTATCGCTTGCTTGCTACTGGGTTGTGGTAAGAGCTTGAGCTTTGGATAAGGCTGCCTGGGTTTGAATCCTCTTCTGCTTAATAGCTGGGTGATCTTGGGTCAATTATATACCTTCTCTGTGCTCAGATGTGGTCATCTTTAAAATGAGATGACAGTAGTACTTACCTCCCAAGTTTGGGTGTTAGGAAGATTAAATAAGATAATATATGGGAAGGTACTGGAACAGTGCCTGGCACATAGTAGGCATGTAGTAAATGTCAGCAGCAGCTGCTGTAGTAAGAAAGATGAGTAGGACAGGGCTCCGCTCTTGTTGCTTTGCATCTGTTTGGAACAGTCCATGAATGCATAGGCCATTTGTTTTGTGTAGGTAGATGTCATCTTCAGGATATGCTTTCAGTGTAAAAATATGAGTTAGCTATTATTTCAGATGCCACTTTGAGGTATTTGGGTTGAACTCCCATGGACTATGGGCTAATTTCATGAAATTGACATTTTTTTTTTTTAAGATTTTTTATTTATTTATTTGAGAGAGAGAATGAGATAGAGCATGAGAGGGGGGGAGGG